TCCAGATACTCAAGTAAATGAAGTTTAAAAAAGTGTTTTTGGACTATGAAATATGATGCCCTTGCATCAGCTCAAGCTAACCTTAAACTGCCCAATGCACTGACTAAAGAGACCAAGTGAGCCCCTCATTAACACAATCTCCCCACCATCGAGCACTGGGGTTGAATTTTTACTATAAGTTTTGTTTGTTTGTGTTTTGGTTTGGGGGAAGAGAAGAGACGTCAGTAGGCTCAAAACTAGACTACAAGGCAGATCAAAAATATGTAATGACTCTCATGTCCTCATTACCAGTATCAACAACAGAAGACTCCCTGGGAATACACAGAGATTTTAAGGACATTAATAACCTTTCTAAAAATGACTTTGTGACTTTCATTCTAAATCATTAGGCAAACAACTCATTCAATAGACTGAAGAAAATGGGCCACAAAATAACCAGCAGGCACATAATATGCACAGAAGAGGTTAACAGGACCAAAATTAAATCTGTAACTAGGTTTAAGTAAGAAATTCCTAAGAGACTGAGATGTCTGGATTAAACGTGCTGGGCCATATGAAAAACCACCAGATCTATATGTGTAACAGAGGAAGTCTCTAAGTACCTTTACCAAATTCAGATCATCAGTCCAATTCAGCTTGAGGGACCCTGTAAGTTATCAATAAAAGTTAAAAAACACAAAACTTAAATAAATAAATAACCCTAAAAACTTGTTGGAAAAATTTGGCAGAGGGTGATTTTTAGAGTAACCAGACAAAGTTAAATAGACCCAGAATCTGACCACTTGGCGGCTTACCTATTGGGTCCTGGTGATGACTTCATTACTCTGTAATACCTTCTGATTTGCGTCTTTGTTTTCCTTCTGCCCCTTTTGATTCTGGCAGTCCTATGACTTCTTGATGGAAGGAGTACAAAAATGTCTAAAGCAGTTAAAATCTTTAAAAATGGTTGTTTGAACTAACTCTAAATTGAGCCCTCTAGGGAGTTCTCTAACCTGCAGGATACCAGGCACGTACCCTCAGTCTGGCCCTCACCCTAACTCTCACCCTGGCCCTCACCCTAACCCCAACCCTGACCATAAAACCCTTACCCTAACGCTGTATCTGGGAAGAAAAAAAATTTTTACATACACACACACACACACACACACACACACAAACACACACAAACACACAATGAAATGTTACTCAACCATAAAAAAGAATGAAATTTTGCCACTAGCAACCACATGGATGGAGCTAGATAGTAGTATGCTAACTGAAATAAGTCAGAGAAAGACAAATACTATGTGATCTCACTCATATGTAAAACTGAACAGAACGAATGAGCAAAATGGAAAAAATAGAGAGGCAAACTAAGAAATGGACCCTTTGACTTTAGATAACTGGTGATTTCCAGGGGGGAAATGGGTGAAATAGGTGCTGGGGACTAAGGGGTGCACTTGTGATTAGCACCAGGTGTTGTATGGAAGTGCTAATCACCTAAACTAATATTACATGTATGGTAACTAACTGGAATTTAAATAAAAACTCAAAGAATAAAAGAAAATACTTGTTTGAAAGAACTGATCTAATTAATGGGGGAAAATATGCCTCTACTTGAGTTTTTGAACCATTGTTCCTGATAGAAAAGAACTTCTGGCAAATATTTATTCCATGCTACAATGTGAAGACCTCTGTATACAGCTTGAAGCCCACTAGGAAATCTGTCTGCTTCCTTTAACTCTTGTCAAAAAAATTTAATTTGGAATCTAAGAAAGTAAAATATTTCTGCCAAGATCTAGGTTTGCCTTGGGACTTAAGGTAATGCTGGGTCCATTTCCGGCAGCCTTGGAAATCTGGTGCGGGGGGGTTCTTAAGGAAGGGCTTGGTGACAGTTCTGTGCAAAATGCTCAGGGAATGCAGGGAATGCAGAATGTTCTATATTCTTTTTTATTCTGAGTTGTTTACACCTGCTTATTAAATAACCTGTATTTGCTGCTCAGTTGGAGACTAACTTTTGAGTCATGACTGAGGCAAAAAATTATACAATAAATATAATCTTATACATTCCTTGCAGCGACTAACTCCCTACTACCCTCCACACACAAGCTTTTAGGGGTGACACGGTATTTTTTTCCCTTTTAATCCTGAGATCATTTATTCTATCGCTGCCATTTAATGTTGGATCAAATGACAAAGAGAAAGATGTGTTTTTAGGAATGGTTTCCTTTTTAATTTCTGGCTTTAATTATGAAAAGAGGGCTTTCTCTTCCTCCTCCTCTCTTCTTCCTCTACCCCTTCCTCCTCCTTCTTTTAAGGAGAAAAAGTCTCTAGTAATTAAAGAACTGCATTTCAATGAATAGCAAGTTTTTCACATATCTTTTAGAATGTATGTATATATTCTACTCATAAAATGCTTGCAGCTCAAATTTATGAAGGAACAGACAAATTATACATGGAGCTTGATAGCGTCATGTATTTGGTAGAGATACGGTCACAAACATGCCCCAGCACTATAATGCTATTAACAAAGTAAACACATGTTAAATATGGAAATTCCTAAAAGATAAAAATTCCTGGGAAAAAGTCTGTAGTCTCAAAGCTGTCCAAGGACATCCCTTACTAAAACAAGGACAGGACAGCCTGTTGACAGTTCTTTCCTCATAGAGAATTTGAAGGCATGCCTTTTTCTACTAAAGTATGTGGCATGCTCTCATCATTTGTCCTTGCCACCGCACTGAACTCACAATAGGAAAAACAAATTAAACATCTTTTGAAAGAAAGTAATTTTACAAACAGATGACTATAAAGAGAGAGGGAGACACAGAATCTGAAACAGGCTCTAGGCTCTGAGCTAGCCGTCAGCACAGAGCCTGACACGGGGCTCGAACCCATGAACCGTGAGATCATGACCTGAGCCGAAGTCAGACGCTTAAGTGACTGAGCCACCCAGGTGCCCCTTAAGTATTCTTTTAAAGTAACGCTGGAGAGACCATGGAGATCACCATCTTGATTAGTTCTCAACAGGTGTTGTTCGGAGCATCTGGGGTTTGATTTAACCTGCAGGCTCTCAGCACTACCCCAAGCCTTGAGAATCTCAGGGGACAGAGCCTAGCCATCTACATTTTTTTAAGATTTTATCTTTAAGTAACCTCTATATCCAATGTGGGGGTCAAACTCAAAATCCTGAGATCAAAAGTCACATGCTCTTCCAACTGAGCGAGCGCCAGGCACCCAAAAACATCTACAGTTAATAACCTTATTTCATTCTATTGTCCACTAAATTTTGAGAACCTCTGTAATCATATATCTTCTCTTCCCTTTTCTTTTCTTTCTTTCTTTATTTTTTTTTTTTTGAGAGAGAGAGAGTGCATGTGCACACTCAAGAGAGAGAGAGCAGGGGAAGGACAGAGAGAGAGAGAGAGAAATGGAGAATGAGAATCCCAAGCAAGCTCCGCGCTGTGAGCACAGAGTCTAACCTGAGGCTAGATCTCACCAACTGTGCCAAGATCAAGAGTTGGACACTTAACTGACTGAGCCACCCACGCACCACTGCCCTCCCTCCTTTTTTTAATTCTCTTCCTTTTTCAAGCACAGAAAGTCAAACCTAGGTTGTCCAAGAATAGAGTGGCAGAGCTAGGTAGAACTTAATCCAATACTCCAAAAGTTTTACACTACCATTCTATAATGTAATATTTACTAAACACCAAAGTGTAGAAAGGCAGAAAGAAAACTTGTATTTCTGCAACTATCTTAGAATAGTATTTTGGGTCCTGCTCATTCATTTATTCAACAAATCTTTACAGAATACCCACATTACATAAGGCATCACTGTCATAGCAGTAGAGGCTACAAAAGTGCCTGCAGGTAGTTTACAAGTGAGCAGAGATGAACCATTCACACAAAGGGGTGTGATTCAAGACAGCCTGTGATAAACACCACAGGAGTGGGTTAACCAAAGAGAACCAGGAGATCTAAGTAGCTAAGCCCTCACTTCTGGTCCAGATAATAAAGAGACTTAATCAGGAAGGCAGATCTGGCCTGGCTGGAAGAAAGGTGGGGCCAGCGATGAACACGTAAGGGCAGGGGAGGAATCCACCTAACCATTCTCATTCACCACCACTGTAAACACCAGAAGGCTTCCATCTTACTGGGGCTGCGGCCTTCAAAGGTACTGCTTTGTACAGAAATGCTTAATGTGAACAGTAGGTGACACGAAACAAGATCCTCTCTCCAGGCATGTTGTCTCCTTCACGTCCAGGGCTGCCAGGCTGGCCATGATGGGACTGTTTTCCTGACTCCTCACTCCACTCCTCAGACTCTGCTCCTTTTAGGATTTGCTGTTGATCTGGATCCTGCCCTCAACCCCCACAATTTTGAAAGGAAACCCCAACACACACAATGTCTTGTAGGTTACCTTTTACAGATGGAAGCAAGGCTTCCCTGAGGTTGTAAGGAAAGTGAGCAGCAGCTACCAGGCCTGGACCTAGATATCCTGACTCTCAAGCCACTGTTCCTTTCACTACAAAGTTCCCTTTGAGCATCTGGCTGTCAGGGAACTCCCTGAGCTAGTACTAGGAGGGAAATGGAAATCCAAACAAAGGAGCACTTCTGAAAGCTGTGGGGAGGAGCTTCAGCCTCTGAGGCTTTGTCCCCTCTTCCTGCTTCTTTATCAGTAAATGCCCCCAGTGAGGCTGAGGACAGTCAGCACAAGACTGCCCTGTGTTTTCAAGCTTTAAAACTAGAACAAAAAACCTGATCAACAATCAGCTTTTCTCTTCAGCCTTGAGTCAGTAAATTTAAAAAAGAAGTAGAGAGAGGAAAGCAAACAACTGACCTAGAATTGTCAACCTTCTATTTGGGCATCTATAATTTTTTTTTTGGGGGGGGAAGCATCTTATACTTCTGAAGTATAAAGCACAGCACATCTATAGTTTATACGGAGAAGGAAAGCCACTATTTCAAAAAAGAGCAATTCTTTAAGCAGAATAAATTCAGATTATGAAAAAAAGAGATTTTACCTGTTTTTTACCTGCATCACATGGCCTGTGTACTACTTAGAAACGACTCCAGCTGAGAATGTAAACTATGGCTCAGAGATTCAAAGAATGCAAGGAGGTTTGCAAAAGCATTCGTAGTTTTTCAAGACATGACAACATGCAGAAGTTCCAGTGGCCAGGATCAGATCTGAAAACCCCTCATGGACTGATCCAGGCTATGACTGCTCCTTCAGCCAGGAGATCAAGCTAAATGAGACACTAATTTAAAACTACTGTGAGCTCTAAGTAAATTTAAACAGCAGTGCAGGAAAACCAGGTTGTTAAAATGTATTGTTTAAATTTTTTTTAATGTTTTTATTTATTATTGAGACGGAGAGAAACAGAGCATGAGTGGGGGAGAGGGGCAGAGAGAGAGGGAGATTCAGAATCCGAAACAGGCTCCAGGCTCTGAGCTGTCAGCACAGAGCCCCATGCGGGGCTCAAACCCACAAACCGCAAGATCATGACCTGAGCCAAAGTCGGACGCTTAACTGACTGAGCCACCCAGGTGCCCCAAAACATATCGTTTAAGAAAGGGTCTGTTGGATGTCTCTGTAAGCCTTCAAGCACATCATCCCATGATTACCATTCTTCACTACATTGTTACTCATTTAAAATTTTAGTTTTGTCATTTAAAATTTTTTGTTCTTTCAAAATTTTTCAGGAAATTCAGGCCAATGCTAAAAGACGTGAGACAGACACCGAAACTTAAACACTACAAAGGAAGATAATACAATATTTATTTCTGGATGATGTAGAATCACAGGGGAAACTATCAGATTTAATTTAAAAGTGAGTAAACACAGGATACACAAAATCAAAATACCAGGTGTTATCAGCCCAAAAATATGAAAAAGGAGATGAGAACACAAACTATAAAATTAGTAATAACCATAATGAGAAATGTGTGTGACCTATTTAAAGAAAAACTGGAAAGTTCTGTGACAAGTATGAGAAATAAGATTTGAGTAAATACACAGGCCATGCCATGTGCTTGACTGGGATGACTAAACATGCTTAAATAGCCAGTTTTTCCCAAAGTAATTTGTAAATTCAACGTAAGTATTCCAACATTAATCTGAAAGAACAAACAGGCAAGCATTACAAAGAACACTCGCAAAAGAATCCGGAAAGGGGCTACGCCTATCAGATACTATATTATTTAAACAGTGTGGCAGTGGCAGAAAGACAGACAAGCAGAACAACAAAGCAGAGTAGACAACTCAGAAATAAAACCTACATATACTAAGAAGGTATCACAAATCAATCAAATAAAATTGGGGAAGCATTACACCAACTGAGTAGCAATTCAGGCAGAAAAAAAGCCCTCTCACCCAATTCCATATACTGAAATAAAGTCCACATGAAATAAAGACTTTAACAACAAAAATTCTTTTTCTTAAGTTTATTTATTTATTTTGAGAGAAAGAGTGCATGCATGAGCAAGCAGAGGAGGGGCAGAGAGAGGGGGAGACAGAGAATCAAGCAGGCTCTATGTGGGCAGCATAGAGCCCAATGTGGCTTGAATCGCGAGGCCATGACCAGAGTTGAAATCAAGAGATGGATGCTCAACCAACCGAGTTAACCCAGGAGCCCACAGAAGTATTTTAAATATCCAATATATTTTTCTATCTTAAAAGAATTTATGTTCTTGGGGTGCCTGGGTCGCTCAGTTGGTTAAGCATCTGACTTTTGATTTTGGCTCAGGTCATGATCCCAGGGTCATGGGATCAAGCCCCATGTTCGGCTCTGTGCTGAGTGTAGAGCCTACTTAAGATTCTCTCTCTCCCTTTCCTCTGTCCCTCTCCTCCGCTGGCATGTTCTCTCTCAAAAATGAAAATGAAAATACCTCTGGAAACAAAACACCAAAGAGGAAAAAATATTTATAGTTTAAAATGATCATCAAAAAAAAAAGACTTTCCAATAAACAGAGATATAACGTTTATGCTAGATTTGCTAGTAGCTAGTAAACTAGTACAAACTTTTGAGAAGGCAATTTGGCAATATACATGTAACTGGAATCTTAAATATATCCCTACCCATGACCCAGTAATTCCACTTCTGGGAATCCAGCCTAAGAAAATAATCACAAATAATACTCTCTGTCAAGAGAGATGCTCAAGACAGAAAGTGGAAACAATCTAGAAATGCATTAAAGAGCAGTTAAGTAAATGATGCAATTCTTTAAAATGATGCTTAGGGGGCACCTGGGTGGCTCAGTCAGTTAAGCGTCCGACTTCAGCTCAGGTCATGATATCAAGGTTTGTGGGTTTGAGTCCCACATTGGGCTCTGTGGGGACAGCTCACACTCTGTCTCTCAAAAATGAATAAATATTTTTAAAAAACAAAAAGTTTAAAACGATGCTTAGAAATTATATGTAATAATGCTTAAATTTTTATAATGTAAAAAAATCAAGATACTAATTAAATACTTAATGAGGAATGTAACTTTATTTTAAAATCTAGACTTATTTATAAAATATTAAAATGTTTCATCAACATACTATATATTCCCACCATTATGTATGTACATATGATGTACATATGTACGTATATATTTTTTAATAAACATATATATATATATACACACACACATCACCTGCTTAATACCTTTACATTGCTCCAAAATCAGGGTGTAGGGGCACCTGGGTGGGTCAGCCAGTTAAGTATCCAACTCTTGATTTTGGCTCAGGTCATTATCTCATGGTTCATGAGTTTGAGCCCCATATCAGGTTCCACGCTGACAGTACAGAGCCTGCTTAGGATTGTCTTTCCCTATCTCTGCCTCTCCCCTGATAGCTCTCTAGCTTTCTCTCTCTCAAAATAAATAAATCAGCTTAAAAAACCAAACAACCAAACAGGGTGTAAGGCAAAAAGTGACTAATGTAAGCTTTACCACTCATTTCAAGAGTAATATAATTAATTCCCAGGGTATTCTAAATTCCCAATTTTTTTCATCAGTCATAAAAAAAACACCCCATTATGAATTAAGCATAAATTAAATAGTACTTACATTCAAAATGACAAACCATTTAAGCTCAAGTAAAATTAATTAGTTTCCTACAATGAGTGAGTAGCACGCAAGAGGGCTTCATTGTTTCTGCTTCCCCCACCCCACCCCTGCCATCTGAAAACAACATTCTCTGTCTACATGAAGAATGGCTCTGGCACAGGGTTCCCAGAGCTCCAATGGCACCTTCGAGTGTTGTCACTCCTGTCATCAGAATGACACCCTTACAGAAGCACGGGAGGAATGCTGGATGCAATGAGATGTTATTAGAAGGACTATGGAAGGGGGCTGAAGGCCCAGCAAGCGTAACAGGCAGTGCAGGACCCGAGCAGGCAGCAGACACAGACTGGATTTCATCTCGTGCTCTGGCTGAAAATGCCCAGAAAATGTGCTCTGCACAAGGCCAAGGATGCCTGATCCCCAAGACCATGAGATGGTCAATCTGTTCCATTAGTTGACTAAACCAACCTGGGAAGAAAATAAGGGGAGAGGCCTCAAAGTAAATCAAATACATACATGTATGTACATGTATTATCTTAGTGTGAAGTACAAGATAATGTTTGAGTGATTGTCATTTAAAGTGTTTCTCATATTTTAGGAAACCTGTCATCAGAAATGTATTAAGTTTGTACATACTGCTATGTCTGAGGTAACTTTATTATTGTACTTAGAAGTTTAATACTAGTAGGGGTTGTTTTTTTCTACTGGGATTATAAATTTGCTTCTCAAACACTTTATTTTTTTGTTTTTTATTTGTGTTTTTTAATATTTATTTATTCTTTCATTCTCTTTTCAGTTTTCATTTTTAGGCATGCATTTTATAATTTAGCCAATATATCTGTATGGTGGCATATGTATATAATTTATAAATAAATAAATTATAAATAAATAAACCATATATTGGTTAGATTACATGACTTTTGCTTCTCCCAGTGGGAAGGTGAGATACATCCATGGCTGAGAGTGACAGGGGCGTCAGGGAGAAGTTCCAGAGGGAGGACCAGAATCCATTCGAGGCCATGTTGGGGTCTGGAGGCCTGGAGTCTAGCGGGGAGGCTGCGCTGTGATCCACACTGGCTCAGGAGGATCTGGGGCAGAGGGCAGGAAGGAGTAGGGAAGGGAAAACACCAGAACTTTTGGACGAGGCAGAAGCCAAGGCTCTAGTGATGGATGGGATGGGGGGAGGTACCCATGCTGCTGCCTGACACCCTGGTCCACGTGATAGGGTGGGCATGTGGAGTCCCCCCAAACTGAGCCCACCCCAAATGCCCAGACACTGCCACCTCTTGCCTTACTCTCCTGCATAGCCGCCTCTCAGACAATTTCAATGCTTGAAAATAAAATATACTATACCTATAAATGTACTTTAAATGTTTGGGGTAAATCCAATGAATTAAAATTATCCAACAATCAGTCTTATTTTATACAAAATAATTACATTCTTCAATGGAACAATAAGCTTTGTCAATTGAAAAGGGAAAGGAAAACCAGCTTTTAAAAAGTGTAACTTCCATAAACTGGATATTATTTTTTTTTAACTGGATATTATTTTTAAACACAAATAACTACAACAGTTCTTTGTAAGGAGAGTAGACCTTCCTGGACATTACAATCTACATTTACTCATTCCCAGCCTCTCGCAGCCACACCTATGGGAGACTTTCTAGTGAATGGCAGGGCAGGCCCTAGCCCCTCCTCAGCCCTCTCCCAGTGTGAGAACACACTTAGTCAGTAATTTGTCCCATCCTCCAGAGAAAGCTGATGTCACCACATTATAAAGTCATAGTCGTCTTATTAAAGACTTCATGAGGAAATGGTTAGCAGAATGCATGCATACTTTTCCATATACCACAGAGAAAAAAGTCCTATCTTCCATTAAATATCTCCTTTCTTCTGCTCAAAACTTCCTTTTCTGACAGTTTCATTAATCTCTTTCCTCCTCTCCTACTGCCTCACTTCTGATATAGTTCTGACCCTCTGGGGTCCCACCCCACTTAGCAAAACAGAAGTTCCACAGTGGGTCAGTGGCCATGCACT